AAGTGACCGGAGTTAAAATAGTTAGAAAACATGTCAGCAGCCCGTCTTTGGTTCCTGCCGTGATGAACGCAGTTGCTCAGAAATGGAAGAAATGAAATGGAAGGTAGATTGTCAGGCCTGTTTAACCTGATTTCTGCAGCACTCTTTAATATCCAAGGTGAACTTGGTGGAATCACAGTGGCTGTGTTTGGCGTGTGCTCAGACTAATTTGTTTCTAGCTTCTTGCCGAGCCATTTCCTTCCTGATCGCCTCTTTACACAGACTGGCCAACCTCTGATGAGACAGGAGACCTCTCGGCTCCCCAGGAACGTTTATATGTTGTAGTGGAATCCATTCCCAGTTATCTGGAGAGGAGTGGAGTAAGCTGTTCATCCAGTCTGCATGTTATCCTGTTCTTTTTCCGCTCCCTCCTCCACTGACCCATTGCCGTGGAGTCAATTCTGACTCATAGCGACCCTACAGGACAGAGTAGAACTGCCCCGTAGGGTTTCCAAGGCTGTAAATTTTTATGGAAGGAGACAACGGGGAACCACAAATGCCATCATACCTGACAGTAGGTTGAGAGAGATGCTGAAATGGTTGGATTGGGATCTTTTTGTGCCTTGGGCTGGAACCGGTCACTAAATCTCAGGAAACCTGCTTTGAGTTCAGAGCAGTGGTCCCTGCCTTCTAGGTGTTTCTCAGGCCCCCCACCCCCTCGGTGCAGTGGTAGCTCATGTATACCTCCAGCATGGAGCCGAAGGCTCTAATTTAGAGCCATTTTGTTTTTCAACTTGAAGACTGTAAAGTTTTCTTGCAATTTCCTTGCCCCTCTTTGGAGTCTTTAAGAACCTGTTGACCTTGTCCTTTCAGAAGTTGGTTGCTCTTCATCAGAGATGATGTCCGTCCTGCCTGTGTCCTTTGTTCCTTCAGTAGTTGACCAACCTGCTTGAGGATTCGTAAATGTTAAACAAGGTTTACACATGCAGATGACTGTTAGGTGGATAACCTTCCATAACTTGTGTTACATCAGGTAACAGGCTAATGGGTTTGTTTCACTGGACTCTGTTGAGCGTTTTCAGTATTTTCAGGCTTTTGTTGGTCTGTATTTTATAAAATGTTGTGAATTTTGCTAAAATTCAAGACAACTGACATTTAATGAGTTTTCACTTAGATGTACAGACAAGTCCCCCACTTTCAGAAACCAGTTTGTTCTTAAGGTTCTTGGGTCAGCCCACAAAAGCCTGCCGTCTTCCAGTACCACTGGAAGGGCTTGTTGTGTTGGCAAGATCCGGTTGGCTTTTGTGGGCTGACCTGGAAGTTTATCCACCATCTGCTGTGCCGTTGCTGTAAGAAATGCATTCCAGGTTGGGACTAGGGATCCTGAGAACGTTCTCCTCCCCATGGGCGTCAGTTGCTACCCTGCAGAATGGAAGCCCAGTCCCTCTCCTACTGAACTATAGTGGTAAGGGGGAGAGAGGGACAGACAAACTTATAGGACATTCCCTAAGTTGGGGACTGATTTTTTACCAGTATCCACGTCAACTTTAGTTTGGTATAAACTCCCTATCAATTTAATAATATTAAAAGCCTTAAATAAATCTATGCATGCTATTCTATGTGCTGTTTTATATCAGTAAATAAGCTTGTGCTTGTCAGTTCTATACATAGTTACTAGGTGTATAAAGCTGACTTTTGACAGTATTTTTTGCACGTTTCCTATCCGTTTTTCTAAAGTCCTGTTTAGATACTGGTCTTAGTTGCGTACTGTTGCTGTTCTCACTGCCCTTGTTATTACCGTATGATGTTTCCTATGTGCCTTTACAAATGTGAGATCTTTATTCTAAGCTTTTTTTGTAAAAGATATCTATTGATTTCCATATGCAATAAACCATCTTTTTTTCAGAGAAAACAGTTGAATCTTCTCATTCTTTTCTGTTTTATGTATGTTTGCATTAATTAAAAGCACTTTTATCCCTTTTAGAATTACTGTTACCTGCAAATTGCCTGGGAAAATTTGCTTTCTCATTTTTTTAAAGTCCATTTATTTCTCTCCACTTTTTTAATTCCTGCATAACTCGATCACACCACAGAGGTGATCACTAGGCAAATGGCGTGAAGGATACATAGAAATGGGTCTTTCTCACAAATGCAGTGATAACCCTCATTAACTGCAAGGTCCTCCCCATCCACCCCAAGACTTTCATTTGCTCAGATCCCAAACTGCCGACTTAGAAAGGCAGACACCCACGCTGCTCTTTAGAACCAAACCCACTGCCGTTGAGTTGACTCATAGTGACCCTAGAGAACAGAGTAGAACTGCCCTATAGGGTTTCCAGGGAGTGGGTGGTGGTTCGAACTGCCGACCTTTTGGTTAGCAGCCAAGCTCTTAACCACTGCACCACCAGGGCTCCCCAGGCTGTTAGAGAAGACCCCAAATTCTTGTTGTTGTCTTTCAACTTTGTAACAGTTCAACTCATCTCTAAGTTTGACGGCAGCGGCCCTGCCCCAGATTCTCAGCCAGTCGACAGCATAGCACATACACAAGGAACCTCTTGCAATGAGAATGGACACTTTATGTACCTTTGAGAAGTAACAGGGCAATGTAACAGCTCCTGCCAATAGCCGCTTTACAACCCCTAAAGGCTTGCTAGGAGTCGGAATCGACTCAATGGCAACAGGTTTGGTTTTAGGGTTTTTTTAAATCACTGAATCAGAAACTAGCTCTTTCTGGCCTTTCCCAAAGGGGTCTTTCGCCAACCAGTGGTCCCAACCCATTTCACACCATGAAAATGAGTGTAACCCACTCAGTGCTCCTCCTAATTCCATGCATAGTGCCTGGGGTCTTAAAAGCTTGCAAATGGTCATTCAAGGCACAACAGTTGGTCTCTATTTGTCGGGAACAACAGAGGAAGAAGGAGAGTCAGGAATAAGAGGAGGAAGTGGAATGTGTGGCTAATTGCCTCCACGAACAACTGCCTCTCTTGCCATGAGACCAGAAGAACTGGATGGAGCCTGGCTTCCATTATTGAACATTTTGATCAAAGATCCCATAGAAGAATCCTGATCAAAAGGGGGAAAATGCAGAACAGAATTTCAAATCCTCATGGATTCCAGACTTCCTGGACCCATGAAGGTTGGATGAAGCCCTGAAACTATTGCCCAGAGGTAATCTTTAAACGTTAAAAATATCCCGAGGTCTTCTTAAAACCAAACAATAGTTTAGCTTAACTAGTAAAAAAATGTCTTCCCTGAGCACTGTGCTCCTTTAAGAACTCTCTATATGGGATCAAATTGACAACAGCAACTGCAAAGATTAGATAAGAACCTGAAGGGGGCAGTGAATTTATGTTAATGGGGGTGGAACAACTCAGAAAATGTGGGTAAGAATGTTTGCCGAACTGGACGAATGTAATCAATGCCACTTAATGGTACATCTAGAAACTGCTGACTTAGTATATGTTTTGCTGTGTATATTCTCAACAGCAACAAAATAAAATTATATTTAAAAAAGCTACTACAAGCCAGCAAAGTTATAGATCTAGAATTATTCATTACAGTATTTTTTTATTGTTTGTAATAGCAAATTGGAAAAAACACGTGTTCATTAATAGGAGCATGGCTGAGTAAGTTATGACAGATGCATTCAGTGCCTTTTTAAAAGAATGGGGCAGGTCTGTAAATGCTGAAATGCAAAAAGGTTCATCTTGTGAAGTCAGAGAAGCAGATTACAAAATAATATGCTAGTTTCATTCTGCCTTTGTTTATTTAATCTATTTATACAGATATGTTGTGTAAAAAACAAACAAAACCAAAGTCATTGCCGTTGAGTCTGTTCCGACTCACAGCTACCTGTAAGTCAGAGTAGAACTGCCCCATAGGGCTTCCAAGGCTGTAACTCTTGACAGAAGCAGACCGCCACATCTTTCTCCTTTGGATCGGCTGGTGGGTTTGAACTGCTGACCTTTCGGCGAGTGGCAGAGCGCTTTACCCAGGGCTCCTTTAGATGCGTTGTAGGCATGGAAAGAACTGGGACCACACAGACTGTTTACAGTGGCTATGTCTGGGGAAATAAGCCCAGCAAGAAAGAAGAATGGCTCACTTCTTTCGTGTATGTTTTATATATGAGACTGTAAATGTAAACCGTGTATGTAAATGAAATGGCATATGCAAATTCAAGCATTATTTGAACTTCTTACAAGCAAGCATTACTTTCACAGTTTTATAAAATCTATGGAGATGGTGAGCTAAGCTTATTTTAGGCTCAGCTACACAGGATATGGGAAGTCAGAATTTTTATTTTTTTAAATCTTTCTTATTGTACTTTAGATGAAGGTTTACAGAGCAAACTAGTTTCTCACTAAACGCACAATTTGTGTTGCCAACCCCATGACATGTCAACACTCTCCCCTTCTCGACCTTGGGTTCCCCGTTACCAGCTTTCCTGTCCCCTCCTGCCTTCTCGTCCTTGCCCCTGCGTTTTTAAAACCCTAACCTCCCCTCTACTCATCTCTGAGGGCTTGGAGGTGACTGCAGAGCGCTTCGCACACAGTAGGGGATCGATAAATGCCATTTGGCCTTCCCAGGACGAGAGAATGCACGGTCCCTGTCGAAGCTCACGTATGTGGTTAACTGTGTGTGAGAGAGGCGGGGGGTGTCGAGGAGGGAGGCAGGGAAGGAGGGTGACAAACATACCAGAGTGACAGCTGCTCAGGTTGTTTTCAAGATCACAACAACAAAAGGTAATTTAAGCGTCAACCCTGACAGGCTTTAATCACCAACTGATGGGGAAGCTCCTCTCTCTGGACTCCAAGAAACTTTCCTAAAAGAAGCATCCCTGCCCTCAGGAGACGTCGGTCCTTCTCTGCGGCAGTTGCTAACGAACAGCATTCACAGGTGCTGCCGGGAGGCTGTGGGGCTGCAGAAAGCCAGGTTCTTGCGGGCGATGTGGGTGGAGATCAATGTTTGCTCAACAACATAGAGTTGGCAAGGAAAAAAAAATTTTTTTCCCTTCTCAAGCTTTCCCTGGAGTCTTTCCAAACAAGGAGAGTACTGCTCAGAACAATCGAGAATGCGCGACGGAACGTTTGCTTTCAGACAGACTAAAAAAATCCAAGAAAGCCAAGCTCGCATTAAGCACCTTTTCTGCATTTCAGGGATACCGGGCCCTGGACAGAATTACAAGGCATGCTCTCGGATGAGGGTTGGGGGCATTCTAGTCACCTGATCATTCTCGCCCAGATACCTTTCTTTCCTTCTGGCACCTTCTCTCTCCCATCCCTCCTCAGGTGTCATACCACCTGCAGACTGCGGAGGCCCTATCCCCACCAGCTGAGAGGACGCCTGGGGTCACTGGTGTGTCCAGAACAAGTATCACTTCCACTCCAAGGGTGAGCTCCACCACCGCTTTGGCAATCCTCCCCGCAGAAAGAACGAAACGCCAATCCCAAGTACTGTTATCTTTTTTATTGTCCGCCACCGTTCAGGTTTGTTCAGAACATTACAATAGGCATGAAGGGGAAAATAATTATATTTTTAAAAATCTATCCAAACAACAGGCACAAAGGAAAAAATAACTGCATCTTTTAAATGCAACCTGTCCAAAGTATATACACGAAACCATGCCATATCTCTTAGGGAAAAATAGCACTCAGAAATTAATTTGATATTAAGGTTAAAGATGAAGACCAATCTCCAAGAAAGCAATGGTTTAAGCGCATGTAGTGTTTTCAATCCATTTTGTTTACAGAAAAGCTGGAGTGATGTGTGAGATTTGAAACATTCCAATTCTTCAAGGTTTGTGCGCTAGAATTTAAATAAAAACTAAGAGGCAGCGTGGTTTCAGTGGCTTTCAATTTCGTGTCTGATCTCGGAGATGTAGGGGTGATCTTTGCCGTGAGCTACTTCCATGATGGCGATGGCCTGGGGAAGAAGAGACAATCACGGGGGGTCAGGACCCGAAGGCAAGCCCCTTACAGCTCCACCCGGCTGACCTTAACTCAGCCTGGACCCCTTTGCTTTAGGGCCCAGGATGCAAGCAAACTGGCTTTTAATACCTACGTTCTCCTACATAGTCTGCCTTTGTAAAATCTGACGCAACATAACCTGGTCACCAGCTAGCCGCCCCGTCTCTACCACTGAGGAAAAGATGCTGCAAAAGCGTGCAGGTGGTCGCCGAGAAACAAGGGAGACAACGGGAACCCACGCTGTCCTTTCAGGAACGGCGCAGTTTCCTCTTCTAGCAAACTTAAAAAGGGATGCAGGTTTCATGCTGAGAAGTTACAGAGAACGTATTTACTACGGTTTCTTTATGTCGATGTTGTGTGCCATTGAGTCAATTCTGACTCACAGGGAGCTTTCGGGACAGAGGAGAACTGTCCCCACAGGGTTTCCTAGGCCGTGGTTTTTGCAGGAGCACGTCGCCAGGTCTTGTCTCCCACAGAGCCGCGGGCGGGTTTGAACCACTGACCTTTCAGATAGCAGCCGAGGACTTAACCACTGCGCCACCAGGTCTCCTTAGGGTTTCTTTACAGTGAGGCAGTAGAAAGGGGTGGGGTGTCCAGTAACTCCATTGCTGCCAAGCTGTGTGACCTTGGGCAATGCAGTTAACCGCTCTGTGCCTTGTTTTTCTCATTTGGAAAACAGGAACAACACTCAGAAAGTGTTCAGAATAGTGCCTGACACGGAGGATGTATGTATCCAACGTGATCTGTTAGAACGCATCTCGCTCTTTCGAATTCAGCTATAAAGCGCAGATAGAAATACTTAAATTACTCCCCCCAAAAGGGACTTTTTGATGGCCCATTACTATGACAGGTGTTCCTTTTTTCCGTTCCTTTCTATCTACTATTCTCTTCCTGACTCTCAAGCCACTAAGAGCAGGCCAAGGAACAGGGCAGGCCTTCAGGAATCACCTGTCTGAAAAGGCATCCTCCTCTCTCCTGCCTCCCCTCTGCTCCTGGTTCAGCTCTATCCTGCCCCTCTCTGATCCTTTACTCAGTTACCTACCAGCATGTCACAGGTCCCAAGGGGTAAGAAAACGCTGACAACGGAACCTAGCTGGTTAGTTTTCCCTCCCTGTCACTGAGGCAATAAATACGTTATCTTAGGAGAAAATCCCATGGTTTAAAAACTGACAACTTCATGCTTAACCCGCCCCCTTAGCTTGGCTGGGCCCCGACCCTTCCATCTGGGAAGCTTCAGGAGAACTGGAGGATGAGGCCTCCAGGCCCAGTCCTGCCCCCAGCATCTATAAACCACCTCTGATAGGGGTATGTAAACAGACTTTCCCCAGCATTCCATTTTCTCACTGTTAACCTCACACAGCAAACAATGGACAGCCAGCACTCAGAACGGTGGCTCAGACCCCAACAGGCAGTGCTGCTCAGGGTCTGGGTCACCCCGCACATTTCAGCCCCCGCACAGGGGGAAGGAGCTGGAGCTCTGGACTCTGACAGACCCCAGCTTGAATTAAGGACCCCCCACGTACCCTCGGCTGGTTACTTAACCTGAACCTCAATTTCCTCATCAGGAAAGTCCATCTCATTAGATTTTTGCCAAAATGAAAAACAAAACAACTGAGGGTCCTGCCATGTAACTAGTACACCGAGCAGCTCTCTCTGTTCAGTCCCTTTGATTTCACTGCAGTTGGGCACCAGAATTCTGTAAATCCTATAACGCAAACCAACCCGTTGCTGTCGAGTTGATTCTGACTCATAGCGACCCCGTAGGACAGAGTAGAACTGCCCCATAGGGTTTCCAAGGAGCGTCTGGTGGATTCAAACTGCAGACCTTTTGGTTAGCAGCCGAGCTCCTAACCACTGCACCACCAGGCCCCCGTAAATCCTAAATGAGAGACGCCTGGAAAAATTCCCTGGCCAAGGTCTCTGGCCCAGCCAGCGGCCCCTGGCCACTTTCAGGTTTCACACGGGAGACGGCAGGACTGTCTTCTCTCCTCCCAGCTTTGGGCTGAGCCTGTGACGGCGGCCAGAGCCTCCCAACGCGGGCGTCCTTCCCTTAGAGGGTACGGGTGCACACACCGCTGTGGCCCAATTCCTTACCACGCCCCCTTCGGCTCCTGCGGCCAGAGGGTGGGTCAGAGCCGGTCAGTCTCCACTGTCCACGCCATTCTGCTTACGGGCATGAAGGACGCATGCTAAGGTGGCCGGACAGGCAGGCACAGGGAACACTAACGTCACATCATAAGACCTACCTTCTTCAGCGCCTTCTCTCCCGCAGCCTTGTTCTCCAGCCCCATGTACAGTCTTCCGAGCTTCAGCCACATGGAGGCCACGTTGAGGGAGTACAAAGGATAATGCTTACTGGAAGAAGACGAGACAACAGGCCACCGATCAAAGGCTGCCCGGCAGCCCCCAGGGCGGGCCCCGTAAGCCTGTGGCAGCTGAGCTCAGGACCAAACTCTCCATGGCGGCCAGGCACCCCCAAACCCTGCCAGGTTCCGGGGGGTGAGAGTGGGTGGTTCGCCACTGCCTACCCATCACAGACACACTTTATTTTATGCAGTTTATGTGTTTCTGAGAAGCTACATCAAAAACGACTGGAGAAGTTCTATCTCCAAAACATCTATAAACACAACGGTCAATTCGAGTGCAGACTGCTGTCTTTCAGGTGTACCCAGAGCAAGGCATTGAGAAAACATCTTTTAAATGTCCCGTTCATGAGGACAGCCAGTAGGCCTAACCCCTCACGTCAGAAAGAGTGTACTTAAAGATACACCCCCCCCCCATGCGTCTCAAGACCCGACTTTCCGTCCCACCCTGTGCTAGCAGCTGGTTCAGCAAAGCGATAAGCCCTCTGAAGTCAGGGGAAGAGCCGTATCTTCTAGAGATGCTTTCTCCTTGTTCAGCAAAAACCGAAAACCCCAAACCCACTGCTGTCAAGTGGATTCCAACTCATAGCAATCCTACAGGACAGAGTAGGACCGCCCCATAAGGTTTCCAAAGAGCCGCTGGTGGATCTGAACTGCTGACCTTTTGGTTAGCAGCCATAGCTCTTAACCACTACATCACCAGGGTTTCCAACAGAGAGCTTTATATACAGTAGGTACTCTCTCCCTGGTTTTAGTGGAGGCCTGCCTAGAAAACAGCCTTTTCTCTAGAAACAGGGTCCAGAAGGCAGATCATAGCTGAGAGTCAGAGTGTATGTGTGTTATGTGTGAGAAGGAGGTATTTGTTTACAGGCAAATCTGCTCTACCTCCTCTAACCGGAAAGCTTGCCCTAAACAGGTTCCAGCTGTATTGCTGAGCAAGACGAAGCCCTGCTGGTTAGAAGTGCTGGACCTGTGGGTGGGGTGGAGGTAGCTGGACCTATGGGTGGGGCTGGAGGTAGCTGGACCTGTGGGTGGGGCTGGAGGTAGTGGACCTGTGGGTGGGGCGGAGGTAGCTGATCTGTGAGTGGGGCTGGAGGTAGTGGACCTGTGGGTGGGGCTAGAGGTAGTGGACCTCTGGGTGGGGCTGGAGGTAGTGGGCCTCTGGGTGGGGCTGGAGGTAGTGGGCCTCCGGGTGGGGCTGGAGGTAGTGGGCCTCTGGGTGGGGCTCACTAGGCTAAGGAAGAGCCCACCACAGCAAGGCCCTGCCGGGAGAACCCCCACAAGGCTGAGATGTTCCCAACCTCCTCTCTCTCTCTCTCCCCTACAGATCTCAGTAGGGAAGTGTGCACGAGACCAGAAGACTTCCTCACAGCCCCCAAGGAAGGGAAGGCTTTGAGATGATCCCCAATTTAACAAATTCCATTTCCAAGGGCAGATTTTAGGACCTGGCTTCCCCTCGGGCTCCCTCTGCTGGCTAATCAGGGCAACGTGGGGGTAAGTGGAGGGCAAAGTTAGTGGAAATTCAGACTGGAAAGGAACCTAACAGTCTCCAGTCTTAGGACCTGAAAGAATACTGAGGGCCTCTAAGGTAGCTAGAAACACTGGGGGTGCTTCCTGAACACAAAGGTTTCCAGGCCTAATGCCGAGACACACTGACCCACTTGGTCTTGGGGCAACCCTGTAAATGGGTAATGTAAGTGCCGCCATGATTCAGATCCAGGCCGTGCCGGCTCTGAAGTTAGTCAGATGACCAGGGACGGTGCCGTGACTTCTCCAGCCACCCGCCTTCTGGTTTAATAAGCATCTTGGTCAGGGAATTTCCTGTGGCCACTATTTGTTATTTCGTTCAACCTAGGGGAGGCAGTAAATCATCACACCCAACCGAGTGCTCGCAGAGGCCCCCCATTTGCAAACGGGGGCTGCAATTTGAAAAAGCAAAGGAAGGTGTTAGCAATGATGGAAATGCACCGATTACTGATTAATAAGTGCCATTTAACTTGAGAGGGGCGATGGGAAATAAAGCAGTGGCTTTTCAGCACTGCCCTGTATTAACCACTATGGACACAGCCCCGAACGGTCCTGGGCGGGGTGGTGCCCGGCACCCCCTGCATAACCTCAGCCTGCCTCCCTGGGGTCTCCTCCAGACAGTGGAGGGACAAGCCTGGTCAGGTGGCGCAGCGCCCTACACCTGTCCCTCCAGATGCGGGTGCAGAGAAGAGAAAGCTGCTCTAGGCAGGCACGCTGCAGCATGGCGCAGGAAGAAGACAGAGCCGAGGGACAATTCCAACCAACGCACTTGGTTCCTTCCCAGGATGATCAGAAAAGCCACTGCAATCACCTGTAGGGCTTAATGATCTTCCGTCCATAGCGCAGGGCTCCCTCCCAGTCCTGCATGTACAAGCAGACGCCCATGGCCTGGTACATCATGTGCAACATGTACACGTTACTGTCTTCGAACACCGAGCTCATCTTCTCCTGGCTGAGCTCGCAGATCTCCAGGAGCTCACTAGGGGGTGCTGTGGCGTCAAGGAAATGACAGGCCAGGCGGAATCGGCTGGAGACTTCCCAAGGCTGGGTTCAAGGAGTGTTTCTGTCCACGGGACACCCACCCTCACCCATGAAAAAGCAAATTACATGAAACCAAGCAAAAGGAAAAGGAATGACATTTTTCTTGAAGAAACAAACTCAGAAAAACTCAAGACCGCAAACGTGAAACAAAACTACAGAATGTGAGCCACAGGGAACAGACTCTCAGATAGGATGTCAACAACAGTGATCAGAATCACAGACCTTCTGTCTTCTAACTGAACTCCAGCCCTCACTCAAGGCCGGGAGCTCCGGGCACTACGGGAGCTCCGGGCACTACGGATGGGGCATTTGTAAGGAAGGCGCCCCACCGTGCGAAGTGCTTTCTTATGTGGAGAAGCACCGGGCCTCTCCCACATTGCCCTCCAGGGCTTTTAGTTCTGCACTCTATAGAGTACGTATCTCATTTCTTTTTGATTCCCAAGAAAATGCCATAATGTTGTTGGGTGCCGTCGAGTAGATTTTCAACTCAGCTACCCCATGTGACAGAGGAGAACTGTAATCTTTATGGTAACAGATCGCCAGGACTTTCTCCCGTGGAGCTGCTGGGTGGGTTCAGACGGCCAACCTTTCGTTTAGCAGTTGAGCGCTTACCTGTTGCGCCATCGGGGCTCCAATGTAGTGGTTAAGAACAGAGACCCTGTTAGTCAGCAGACCTGGGCGAAATCACGGCTCTGCCACGGTGACCTGTGTATGCTCGGGCAATTACCTGACTGTCTGTAAGCCTTCTTCCTCCTCTGCTAACTGGGGACCACAGCATCTCTCCCCGACCATGTTTGTGTGAGGGTTGGTTGAGATAACGTATGCAAATCACTTGGCACTGTGTGTTGCCCAGAGGAAGACAGCCATACATAATGGCCTTCAGGAAAGGAGCTCTTCACAGTCTTAGAGAACGAACCTTTTCCACCAGGTCGCGCTCCCGAGCAAACTCGTCAAACAAGAAGTCAGGACTCAACTTTGCTGATGGTTGGCACCACCTAACGGGGTCAGTAAACCTTCACACACTTACCAGGAGACAGTCTTCCTTCGAAACTCAGAATTTTAAACCCATCTTTCTCCTGACCCCTCTTCCCTACTTCCCACCCGCTCCTGCCAGTGAGGGGCGGGACATGTCAGCACAGTCGAAGGATATATTTGTAGTGCTTGGCTTTCCGGAATTCCTCGATGACATTCCGGGCATATCTGACCATGTCACGGATGGCTTCTGCCTTTGGGGGATCGGTGAGCTTCCGGATTTCCACCTTGGCCTTATCCTGAGCAAAATGTCCGAAAAGGCAAGGGGTTACCTCCCAGAGAACCACACTGGCAGAGAAAGCGCTCAAAGAACACGTTCCCGTGTGGGGGGAGACGGGCTCGCCCTTCCAGGGTTACAAAGGAACGAAAGGAGACCAGGCAAAGGATCTAAAAGACACTCAAAGCAAAGAACGAAATGCTAACTATCTAACCCAAAACCCATTGCTGTCGAGTTGATTCCGACTCACAGAGACCCTATAGGACAGAGCAGAACCATCCCATAGGGTTTCCAAGGCTGTAATCTTTATGGAAGCAGACTGCTGCATCTTTCTCCTGCAGAGCGGCTGGCAGGTTTGAACCGCCGACCTTTCGGCTAGCAGCCGAGTGCTTAACCACTGTGCCATCAGGGCTCACTAAGTATCTAGACAATCCTTATTTGGGAAGGCTACCTAGAATGTGCTTGCTATGCGCAGATATGTCTGTTCACACAACTACAAATCAGTAAGAGAATAAAGAGGAATGGCATTGATCTAACCAGAATTCAGGAGGAGCCAGGGAAAATCCCACATATTCTGGTGAACAGGCTGAAAAGCCTGGGAACTATTCTCACGTGCCTTTGTCCTCACCCTCTCTGTTGAGCGGTCATTTCTTGTCAAGAAATAGCCATTGGGCAGGCCCTTCTCTTATCTGTACTGTGTAACGGAGACACTCTCTCCAGCTACCAGGAGCAGGTTTCAGCAGACACCTGGTCTAACTGGATTCCCTCTGTCCGTCTTAATAAGATTGCCTTAAAGGGTCAAAAATATCCTTGAGGACATACTGCAAGTGGGACGGGGGAACTCGTTCTGCAGAGAGATCTGAGACAGTCAGTCAGTGTGCCTTTGCTGCATCAACAGAACTCACCTTGTCTTTGGTGGTACATTCCCGGCACTCACAGGTGAAGAAATAGGAATCTTGTAACCGGTCATTCCTATCTTCTGTTGGATACAGGAGGTCAATGTAGCTGGTGAACACCTAAGGGGTCCAGAAAGTTGAAGCTTTAATCTGATACAGCTCCACCCAAGCCTCATCATTCTCCTGGCTCTGCAAACAGGCGCTGTCTACTTGAACAGACCGTGTTCCTTAACCTCACCAGCTGCTGGCAAGCTGACTCTGACTCACTGAGACCCCATGGGTGTCAGAGTGGGACTGTGCTCCACAGGGTTTTCAACGGCTGATTTTTGCGAAGTAGATCACCAGGCCTTTCTTCTGAGGCACCTCTGGGTGGACTCAAACCACCAACCTTTCAGTTAGCGGCCGAGGGTGTTAACTGCTGGCACCACACCCAGGGACTGGCTCCTTTAAAACTGAGAAACCACCTCATGTTCCTCCTTGTGGTGGGAAGACACTCTGCAACGCGGGCCTCCTCTTCCCACCGTCTAGAGAATGAAGGCGCCCCTAAAACAGTGCATGGGAGGGTTGAAAGGATCTCTGCCTCTTTTCCACCCCAAAGAGAGCAAACTATGCATCTGTCCGAGCAGCAGATGCTTCTGTCTCGTGTACAGAAGCACAGACCACAGTGGGCGAAGAGCCCGCTCGTCCTGGGGCCGGGCCCGCACTGCCTCCACCTTTACTGGACTCTTCATTTAGATGCTTCCGCTGCCCTCACTGCTGACCGAGTGCAGGGGAGCATGAAGAAGCAAACCGTGAGAGGGCTCCCCTTTCTCCTTATGTCAGCCGACAAGAGAGCAAGACGCTCAGCAACACAGCGGGCTGGCAGCCTGCGGTTCCAGGTGGCTCCATGGGTCCGTGTGGAGAAGACGCAGCTTCTAGAACAGCAGTCCGCTGCTGCCCTGCCCACAGGTGGCTCCCGGCCCTTCCGGCTGGGCCAGAGAACTGCAAAAGCCTTGCCTTTGGGTTCCTGGCTTTTCTCTATTCGGTCTGTAACTACGACTCGGAGCGTATGGAGGAGACCAGCACTTAAACGTCCATTACCCACTCACCGCGACAGCACCTGATGATCATCCCGCACAATCAGGCGAATGACTGAACAGATGGGCTTTAAATGCCGTCAGCGAGCCCGTCACCCCAGGCACCACCGGGCAGGCAGGGTAAGGTAAGGCACGGGGCTGGGTGTTTGTGGGGCAGCCAAGCTCTCCCCAAACCAAGGGCAAGAAACGAGACCTCACGGCTCACTCTCACGCCCTGGGCTATGGGCTCCTTTCTCCTTCAAGGGCAAGTAACCCCCAAAGTACTACCTTCCCAGGTATTCCACAAAGGTACCGCATTTTAGATTTGTGAGAACAGGAGGCAAAGCGAAAGAGGAGTGAACTCGCGGGCCTCCACGGCCAGGGCCCGCACGACTCCCTTTGCACTGAATGACGGACGCGCTGCAACACGCAGAAGGAGCCAGAAGATGGCGGCAAAGGCCAGTGTCACTGCCCTGCCCGCCGGTCCCCGTGACAAACTGCAGCTCTCGTCAGCCCACAGGGACACGGGGGCCGGACACTGACATTCTGACTGACCCAACGGTCCGTTTTAATAAAACAGGCATCGGGTAGTCTCCACAAGGCATTGGGAAACCCAGACACCCTGACCCGCCACGGGACACCCTCTTTACCATGAATTTAGCAAGGGGCACAAAATCCAATCTGCACGCTCAGCTTCTGGTCCCAGCTCAGCTGTGGGCTAGTCAGCAACTTCCAGAGACATTAAAGCGTTTAGCGCACTGACGGTTATATTTAAATTTTCAAATGTCCAGACATGCACCTCAAAACAGCATTAAAATTATTAAACTGAAATTCAATGTAAAATGTGTAATTACATCCCCTAAAAATTCAGTTATCTTTCTAGAGATTTTATTATTTACTTAAAGACATACAGCGTACGTGGAGCAACGCACCAGGCAGGCCTTTCTGGGGAGAGACGATGTCTAAGGCAGACACAGGATCGATACTGTGTCACGGGGGAGCAGAGGAAAGGGAATCATCCAGCAGGTGACAGGTTCGGCCACTCATCTGCTGTGCTCTCCAAAAACAACGCTGATGGTACCTCTTGGGAGTCTCCGGTGGTACAAACGTTTAATGTGCTCAGCTGCTAACTGAAAGACTGGAAGTTTGAGTATACGCAGAGGTGGCTCGGAAGAAAGGCCTGGCAATCAGCTTCCAAAAAAAATCAACCATTGAAAACCTATGGAGCATAGTTCTTACTCTGCCATGCAGGCGGTCGCCATGAGTTGGAGTCGGCTGGACAGCCACTGGTTTCATGATGCCTCTAATCCAGCCCGCGTGGCACAGTGGTTAAGAACTCAGCTACTCACCGAAAGGCTGGCAGTTCAAATCCACCAGCCACTGCTTGGAAACCCTATGGGGCAGTTCTGCTCTGTCCCACGGGATCACTATGAGTCAGAATCGACTCGATGGCAACGGGCTTTTCCTGACCCATAGGCTGCCCCGTTCCCCAATCAGTGCACACAGTTGGCCACCTGAAGTACGTTTCTAAGCAGTGAGCTGCGGACGTGGAATAGGAACAGCTCAAACGCCGATGTGTCCTTTGAACTTGTAGCTCTTCAGCTACGACTGGGCTCCTGATGTCTTTTAAAGAATGGTGCTTTCGACTGTTTTTGGTGCACGAGGCAAACGGGTAAAATTTCACTACTCAAAACAAAAAAAGCTCAAACTCAGTTGTTTGGCAATAGGAATACACAGACTCTAAAGAGAATCCAAAACTTCACTCTGGTCTTTTTGGCATCTCCTGTCTCTGCAAATCTCTATAAATCTTCACCAGAAATTTAGCTCAATTGAATTCATTCTTTCCAGTTTCCTCTTGACCAAACAAGGAAATGGCGGGTGCCAGATGGAAGCCCTGAAATGTGTGGCCCCTGGGACCCCAGCCACAGGTCACAAACGTGGTCCTTAGCCCCCAGAGGACCGGAGGACTGACCTGGAGTCACACACGGCCAGTGTTCTCAGGTGATACTGCAGAGGTGGTCTAAGAGCCCTTTCACCCTTTCGAGGCCCAATTAGTTTCTGCTTTGCATTTTTTGTTGATCCCATGTGTTTTTATTAATGGAAGCATGGTGAACCATTGAGTGTTGCTGACTTTTTGGTAGGCAGTATAGACTTTTTTTTTTTTTTTTTTGCCTCTTCCAAAAATCCTACCCTCCGAGTCCCCAGGCACATACACAGTCCCACCAATTCTACCCCGAGCACCCCCTAGAGTCCAGACGGACGGACGGTGTCCTGAAGAAAAATTTTCAAAGTTTCTTTCTCCTACCAAACGCACACGCACTTGATACAACAGCCTGGAGAAACACTCATCTGCAGCACACGCCTGTGTTTTCTCAGCTTCACACGGTCACAAAGGCCCCTGCCCTGTGGCAGCGTGTGCACTGTCAGTGGGAGGCCGCTTTCCGAGGAACCTGAGGGGCAGAGGAAGGGGGCAGGCAGCCGTATATCCCACCGGCCGCTTGGAACAGCTGTTGTGAGCACGCTGCCTGCCGCCTGTGACCAAGCTCACCTCATCTCCTGCACTGATCTCCTGCACGGCTCTCACTTCGGCCAGGGTCCCCTTGTAGGTCACAATCACATTGGGGCAGCAGCTGTGATTCATCAACGCAACACTGTCAATCAGAAGAGAAAATTCCACCTTCTCAGTGAGGTAGGGGGACTGTTTAGGAGACGCCACTCGGCTGCTCACTTTGCTAAGTTAGAGCAGTTGCATCTTTGCGACACATAGAAAAAATCTAATAGCTGGCTATCCTATTCTGAGGGGTTGTTCCGCATGCGTTTACTATCATATCTGATGTTTTCAGCTTTAAACGAGTCCCTGCAGGACGCTAACAGTTAAGGGCTCAACTACTAGCTAAAAGGCTGGTAGTTCAAACTCACCCAGAGGTGCCTTGGAAGAAAGGCCTGGCAACCTGCTTCCAAAAGGTCACAGACTTGAAAACCTCATGGAGCAGTTCTACTCTGCACACATGGGGTCACCACGAATCGGAATCGACAACTAACCACAACCACGTTTAACACGTTAAAAAGTGAAATCCACATCTAAAAACCATGGCCTCTAAGCCCAAAATACACAACAGTAACACCCCACAAAAAGTCTCTTCTGTGAGATGCTGGACTCAAAACCCAATAAAAAACCAAACCCACGGCTTTGGGTCACTTCCAACTCAGAGCGACCCGACAGGACAGAGTAGAACTGTTCCATAGGGTTTCCAAGGCTGTAAATCTTTATGGAAGCAGCCTGTCACGTCTTTCTCCCGTGGAGCGGCTGGTGGGTTTGAACCACAGACTTTTTTGGTTAGCAGCCGAGCGCTTTGACCACTGCGCCACCAGGGCTCCCCAAAACCCCATCCCTACAGCTAATTGCTACTGCAGGGCACACTGTAAAAGACGCACGGGTTGTCATTTTGCAACAGTTTTACAGTAGTGGACCATTTCCAACGTGTTTTCTTCAGATGCCGAGAAACCACCACCCCGGGGGCCTCCCGCGCCGAGCACTGCCCGTGACCCGCCCCACCCCGCCCCGCAGAAGCCCATCTGAGCTCTCTGCACCTCAATCTCCTCATCTGGAAAATTGGGACATTACTGCTCCTGCTGTCACTGTCTGCTTTTCAGGGACGGAGGAAGATAGACAGATTGGCCCATGCGAGGGGCTTTGAGCTTTCTGATTCTATCAAGGTCAAAGTTCTAAGAACAGAAATTTCTAAACTACAGGGGAAAAGCGCTTGATCTCTGAAAATGCGGCCTTTGAAATCACAACACCAACGTGATTTCAGCCCAAAGGGATCTTTCCCCCAATTAAAACTACCAGAAACTGGGGCTTGCGCTCCTGTGGGCGTGCAGGTCCACACAAGTAACTGCTGTGGTGGCTGGCGCCCCTTCCCGGCACTTCAGGGACCCAAACCCCCCTCTTTGTCCCTAGAATGCGAAAAAGCAGAGGTCGCCATGCCTGGCGGGGAGCGAGCTGTCCCGGGTCTGGATAGGAACTGATGCTGAGGACAAGGGCGGAGGGACCCGACTGCAGCCCCAGAGGCCACAGGAGAGTGTGCAGCTGCCCTGTGCCCCAGACAAACATGGTGATGTCACTGTCTTATTCCTCGGGGACCTGCACTATGATGTCACTGTCTTGTTCCTCGGGGACCTGCACTATGATGTCACTGTCTTG